TTTGGGGCGTTGTTTTGGGAGTTGTTTTCTAGTGTGGTCGTTTGTAGTATGGTAGTCTTTTTTGTTTTTTGTTTTGTTGTGGTTTATTGTTTCTGTTTGTACGGAGTTTCGGTGTGGTCTGTCTTGATTTGCAAACCCGTGTGTGTTTACTGGTGCGGGGTCTTAGTAGGTATTAATATGTGGTAGTTTAGTGTTTTAATTTTTTGTTTTGTGTTGTGTTGTGTTGTCTTGGAGGTGTGTCCGCCCCGCCTGCTCCTCTAAAGTAGCAGTAGCCGCCCGCCTGCTCCCCTAAAGTAGCAGCAATCGTCCGCGTGCTCCTGTAAAGTAGAAGTACTTTTCCAGCTGCTGCTTCCACCGCTCTTCATTTTCCTTAGAGCGCTGGTGCTTGGCCGCGCCTTACACTATACACAATCTCCAGCTATTAGAAATTATAGAGTCTTAACATTCTTTATATTTAAAAGTAGCGTAGCGTAAGGCAGGCCGTTCTGGTGGCGAAGCTCTGCTTAGATGCTGCTCTCTTTGCCCGCGTCGGCCCTGGAGCGTCTGCAGGGCCCAGAAGGCTTCTGGAGGCCCCTGCTGGCTTGGACCCACTTGAAGCGGACACAACGCTAGAAAGCCGTTCTCAATGACCAAACCGATAGACGTACACAAGGACAGATTCCTAATCGCTGTTCAACCAGTCATTGAGGACGGGTTTCTGCTGTAGTGTTTGCAAGTTTTCGCTCCCATACTACAGCGGGGACAAGCGTTGACATTCTCTGCTCCTAAGCCTTGAACAGACCATTGTCAACTTTACCTTCTAGTTCGGCCGAATTCTGATAAGGTGGATTTGCTGAAAACTATGGAAAAAGTCCGTGAGGACCTACAGATTGGAAGACACCAATGGCTTGCCACCAAACAGGACCTTGCAAATGGGTATTCCCCAATAGCTTGCCTTAAACCGTAAAAGTAGATTGCCCAAAATCGACCACGGGCCGAACAGAATCGTTTAGTTTGATTCGCGTTAATAAATCATTTTCGTTTTACTAACGCGAATCCAACTATACGATTTTGGTCGGCCCGTGGTCGAGTTTTGGCAATCTATTTTTGAGCTTTTGGTTTCCCGCAGCTTTTAGCGAATGCCTGCCTTCACAAAAGCTTGAAATTTCATCGTTGCTGGCATCTTCTTCTTGATGTGGTCGCACCTGTTTGAACCCTTCTGCAGTGCTTTGGGTCTCGCTGGCAAGCCGATCCGGGTACCCGACATTGGCACCTCAAACATTGGCCATATCCGGCAAGCGGGGTCAGACCCCTAACAGTTGCAGACCATCTCGGGCTTTGGAGAATCGTTGAATCACACTCAATCACATTCGCAAACTTACTACGTTTAAAGTCGGGCCTTATAGGATGCGTTTCGCTCACATGGAAGTCGCTGCTGGCGCCCGCGGATCGGTTTCGTAAAAAAGCAAAGATTGGGGCCCCAAAATGTGTTCCGAAAAATGGACCCAAAACTGGCCCCTGTGCTCTGGAATCAAGAGACACGGCTTCATTTCGGGCCCCGTTCTGGGGTCCCAAAATTGGGTCCGGATGGGACCCACTCTGCGTAGGTGTGGACGAGCGCAGATCCGCACTGACACAGACCGCTAAGCCTTTGCGCATCTTTGTATGAGCGACATACGCAAAGGAAATACCAATTTGATTGAAGCCACTTATTCCAAGCGCAAGAAGCAACAGTTGCAGACCATCTCGGGCTTTGGAGAATCGTTGAATCACACTCAATCACATTCGCAAACTTACTAACGTTTTAAAAGAAGTCGGGGCCTTTATAGGATGCTTTCGCTCCCATGGAAAGGTCTCTGGCTGTCGTCCCGCAGATCGGTTCGTAAAAACGAGCAAGATTGGGGGCCCCAAAATGTGTCTAAAATGGACCCAAAACTGGCCCCCTGTGCTTCTGGAATCAGAGACACGGCTTCTTTTTCGGGCCCCGTCTGGGTCCCCCAAAATTGGTGGTCCGGATGGGACCCCCTCTGCGTAGGTGTGGCGAGTCGCAGATCCCACTACCACAGATCTGCGACGCTAAATCTTTGCGCTCTTTGTGTAAGCTCCATGCGCAAAGTAAATACCAATTTGATGTGAAGTCCCTTATTCAGGGAAGCGCAAGCAGAAGAAAGCAACAGTTGCAGACCATCTCGGGCTTTGGAGAATTGTTGAATCACACTCAATCACATTCGCAAACTTACTACGTTTAAAGTCGGGCCTTATAGGATGCGTTTCGCTCACATGGAAGTCGCTGCTGGCGCCCGCGGATCGGTTTCGTAAAAAAGCAAAGATTGGGGCCCCAAAATGTGTTCCGAAAAATGGACCCAAAACTGGCCCCCTGTGCTCTGGAATCAAGAGACACGGCTTCATTTCGGGCCCCGTTCTGGGGTCCCAAAAATTGGGTCCGGATGGGACCCACTCTGCGTAGGTGTGGACGAGCGCAGATCCGCACTGACACAGACCGCTAAGCCTTTGTGCATCTTTGTATAAGCGACATACGCAAAGGAAATACCAATTTGATTGAAGCCACTTATTCCAAGCGCAAGAAGCAACAGTTGCAGACCATCTCGGGCTTTGGAGAATCGTTGAATGACACTCAATCACATTCGCAAACTTACTACGTTTAAAGTCGGGCCTTATAGGATGCGTTTCGCTCACATGGAAGTCGCTGCTGGCGCCCGCAGATCGGTTTCGTAAAAAAGCAAAGATTGGGGCCCAAAAATGTGTTCCGAAAAATGGACCCAAAACTGGCCCCCTGTGCTCTGGAATCAAGAGACACGGCTTCATTTCGGGCCCCGTTCTGGGGTCGCAAAATTGGGTCCGGATGGGACCCACTCTGCGTAGGTGTGGACGAGCGCAGATCCGCACTGACACGGACCTGCGACGCTAAGCCTTTGCGCATCTTTGTGTAAGCGACATACGCAAAGGAAATACCAATTTGATTGAAGCCACTTATTCCAAGCGCAAGAAGCAACACAACCGGGCCTGGTGTTTTCGCCCGAAACGACCCAAGATTTTGTCCCCTCTTTTGGAGCCACGTTGTCAGACAACAGAAACGTAAAGTTGAAGACCGCTCCATGACTCAATTGGTGAGTGGAGCAAGCGTTGGAAAAGCTGGCCACAGCGGCCACAGTGTGCTCACCCACAGCCTTGGAAGATAAACGTAAGGTTGGCAATGCGCTGTTTAATGATTCAAGACATGTGGACAATGTGCATTTCATGGACAGGAACCCACAGCGAGGAAAGCCCAGCTGCTCAAGTCGCTGCAGACGGCAACAAGGCATAACAGATCCATAGTATCATATTTTCCTGCCCCTTCAAGCTGAGCTTGGGGCGCAGCTTCTCTTGGCACCTACTCCATGTTGCGTGAGCGATGCGAACCCACTCCATGTTGCGCAAGAGAAGCCTTGCAACCCTTGTCTGAGGGGAACGCAGAAGGGGGCAACGGTCTGTCAGGCAAAGGTTGACCCTTCGACGAAGTTCGTTTTTTCAAAAACCCTTCGGCGAACTTCTGCGAACGTTTTGGGGGTTCGTGAGGGGTTCGTGGGGTGTTCGGTTACAAGATAAAGTTCTGATATGTTGTTAAAATTCCCAAGTATATTAAAAGCTTCAATAAGAATTTACGACACTACACCCCGGATAGTCTGTGAAGTTTATATGTCAGCGAGATGAAATGGTGATGATTTGCCACGCCTTTTTCTCTGCATCTTGCAGGGATTTCCTGCGAATGTCTTTCCAAAAATACGGAGTTTCTTGCGTTACTCTGGCTCATTAGCAAAAATTCTTGCCAGGGCCCGACAGTCGTTCAGTGCAGGTCCAGGAAGTGCAGAATCCTGGCGGGCGGGAGTGTAAAATCACAAATGAGGTGCGTCAAAAGGCTTGTTGCTCTGGCAACCCGTTTTCTCTCTTGCGACTTCTGCGGCCAGTGACTAAGGCAGCGTTTTATCGCAAACGGCCCGGCAAGGCGGTTGATCGCCAAAACTTGCCAGGTTCAGCGGCCGAGGACTCGATTAAAATTTCTTGCCTTCAGAAACAGCGGCAGCGGAATTCGGCAGAGTCAGGCCGGGGCGCTCTTGAAATACTTCCCTGCTCTCTGACCTACAGTCTCGGAAGACTCAGAAGCAGGGGTAACCCGAGAACACAAAAGCATGTGACACCAACTTTCAGCGATGCATTTTTTATGTTAAAAATAATAATGCTTATTTCCAAGTCCACAAACGCATGAACAAATTCGTCGTTATTTGGGAATATCAATCAAATATATTGCGTATGAAATGTTCAATCAGACATGTGAGACTGCGATGCATTCACTCGGACCCCTCCTTCATTTTATCGGATAAGCTCGAAGTGCAATGGGGAAAGTCGAAAGTCAAATCGGCTGTCTGTCCCAAGGTCAAGCCTCCAAGGCTCGGCCAAGGGCCACGACTCCTAAAGCACACGTTTCAAGTGCACCCGAACTTCCCCCAGGGTGGGCGGGCGGGACAAAAATTTGCACTCATGTGCTTGAAGGAGCGTGCGCGGGAGACATGTTAGCAACTGATCATCAAAGAATAAAGTTCATGAAAAACTCAATCGTTAAAAATCAGGTTCAAAAGAGTTTCCCAAAAACCGCCCGAAGTGTTCATGCACGATCGTTTCTCAACGAGACAACAATCGTTGTGAAATTGGAAATAAAGTGAAAATCACAAGTGATGTGGTCACTTATTTCCAAGTCCACAAACGCATGAACAAATTCGTCGTTATTTGGGAATATATCAATCAAATATATTTCGTATGAAATGTTCAATCAGACATGTGAGACTGCGATGCATTCACTCGGACCCCTCCTTCATTTTATCGGATAAGCTCGAAGTGCAATGGGGAAAGTCGAAAGTCAAATCGGCTGTCTGTCCCAAGGTCAAGCCTCCAAGGCTCGGCCAAGGGCCACGACTCCTAAAGCACACGTTTCAAGTGCACCCGAACTTCCCCCATCGAAGTGCACTTCAGCCCGTATCCGGAGGCCTTTCAAGCAGCAGACAGCCCAAGTCGACATCGTCCTGCCTTGCGCCTTGTCTGATCAGGTGGTCCACGATCTGTCGGCTAGGCGGGTCTGCCGGGTTCGAGTGGGTAGGCACACGCCCAAACCACGGCCTAGCCATATTGTCATGTTCCAGCGATAAGACCTGCTGTAAGAGCCGTCGTCCGTTTCGAGTCCCAGAGCGGCCAGCAATCAAAGCGGATTGCGCAGCTTCGTTGTCTAAGTAGAAGGTGCTGAAGGTATCTCTCAACACTTCCGCCCATAGCATGAACGCCACTAGGACCGCGTAGAGTTCGACTTCATAGATTGGATGCTCGGATTCAGCCTCCAGCACTTCCAAATCAGACTTGGGGATCTCCGAGCTGAAGAAAGCCAACGGGACGCCAGAGGCATCGTAAATGATTCCTCCGATGCCGGCCACAACCCCAGCGCCAGGTTCATAAGATCCATCAGTAAAAATGAAGAGCTCTCTCCCGGAAGTCTGCCTCAACTCCAAGGGTCTCGAGGTACTGACGTGTTGGAGCAGTGTCCTCACCGCCCATTCCAGATCAGCGCTCAGTTCCGATGAACCATCGATTCCCCTGGCTCTCAAGGAAAGTTGGTGCATAGCTTCGCACGGTGCCCGTCCGAACAAGTAAGAAGAATACCAATGCATGCGCCCGCGGAGGACTTCAGCCTCCTTGGGGCTAAGTCTTCCCGTCTGCAAGATGTTCGCGAGAGCGTCGTTCAACTCCTTCTTTCGATCGCTGGTATGTGTGATGGAGATGACCCCGCTCTCGAATCCCGACAGGTCGAAGGCCAAGCCAAGCGCATTAAAAACCGCATCAAACTTTGTTGCTTTCTTGCCCTCTTTGGCATACTGAATCCCAAGAGCCTCGAACACTTCGTCGGCGAGTTCTTCGATCTGTTCCTCCATTCCATCACAAGATAGCAATGGAAAATCATCGAAGTATGCGCACCAGCCCAAGCCCATGTCTCGGACGCCAGTGTGCCATACGGCGGCTGACACCCTAAGGAAGCCAGCCACGCTTCCGGTGGCACCGAAAGGTAGGACATTAGTCCCATAGATCCGCGCCTCTTGCTGTCCGTGTCGAACACACCAATCCTCAAGTGTTGTCTGTCAAGAGGATGTACGGGGTAGAACTTGTAAGCGGAGACGAGATCTATTGTTTTCCCAACCAATTTGAACAAGCGGTCACGTGGCATATTCAACAACTCAAGGAAGACAGCCGCCAGAACGTCGACCCCGTGCAGGGTGAACTTCTCTGGCAGCCCGCAAGCCATGTTCAAGCCGCAATCCTTGCCGTTGTCAATCACCCGTACTTTGTTTTTCTGCTCAAGCCCGAAGCGGTGCGCCAGAATGATGTTGCTGAAGTCAGGGGCGGTGTCCTCGAAGATCCAGCCCTTGCGCTCCTCCTCTTGGGTTTCAGCCCACGCCTTTCTAGACGTCTCGTCCGGCTTCGTGTTTGTTATCCGGCTCATAGTCATGGGAGATCGGTAAGACGATTGTGCTAGCAGACTTTCAAGAGAGGATTCCGGTGCCTTGACTCTAGGTTTGAAGATTCCGGTCTCTCTCATCCATCCTGTCAAGCGGAAGCCATCACGCAAGTCAGCCCAAAGCATCTGGTCAGGGAAACCGTTTCGCTCAAGAATGCGCTGCCAAGCAATGACGTTCTCTTGAGCCGAACGACTTGGACCAAACAGCTGCACTTACCAAAAAAGTTTCCTGAGTAAAAGTTGCACTGAGTTGGAAAGGTTTCGCACAAAGAACTTCGCCTAAGTTGCACAGCAAGACTGAAGTGGCACACGATGCTCGCACAGACGACTGTATTTTTTCTATCGGCGACGTTGGGGATAACAACTGCTGGAGTGCCGGTCGGCACCAAGTTCGTATGCCCATTTTGGCATTTTGCTAAGCCTAAATGTCCGCAGGGAGTTGCAGCCCTCAGCGAGGGGCCCTGCTAGCATTCACCCCCTTGCCAGGGTGGGCGGGTGGGTCAAAAATTTTGCTCAGCTTGAGCATCCGCACTGCGAACAGCATGAGTGTGATTCATGCACTGCAAGACAAAAGAGGGATGCTCTGTCGCGTTGTTGTCTCAAGGAAAAGGCCACTGAAGAAAACGCAAGAAGTAAAGCAACCTTTTATTTTTCAAAATCGGTCCAAGGCGGCCCACGCGAGGGCCTTCGTCCGGGCTCAAGAGAATCCACTATCTCGGAGCGAGACTGTGTGGTTCTCTTGAGCCGAACGACTTGGACCAAACAGCTGCACTTACCAAAAAAGTTTCCTGAGTAAAAGTTGCACTGAGTTGGAAAGGTTTCGCACAAAGAACTTCGCCTAAGTTGCACAGCAAGACTGAAGTGACACACGATGCTCGCACAGACGACTGTATTTTTTCCATCGGCGACGTTGGGGATAACAACTGCTGGAGTGCCGGTCGGCACCAAGTTCGTATGCCCATTTTGGCATTTTGCTAAGCCTAAATGTCCGCAGGGAGTTGCAGCCCTCAGCGAGGGGCCCTGCTAGCATTCACCCCCAACTTAATCCTATTACCTAAGTCCCTGAACATCCTTCAAGCAAGAGTCGACTCTTTGAGTCACATTCGAACGAAGGAGTTGAACCCCCAGCAAGCTCAAGCTGTCAAGCTCAACCCTTGAAGGTTCGTCTGCAGGGTTCGATGGGGATGGTACCCTTGCGAACCACGGAATGATTGAGGAGTTATGTTCCTTCTGCAGAAACGCCTCCAACAACCGTCTCGCGACTGAAGCTCTGGCATTCGCAGAGATAGCTGCGTCACGCACACCGTTATTGTCCACAAAGAAGATTGCCGTGTGCCCCATCAAGTCCTGCAACCATACGTCCAGTGCCACTGCCATTGCTAGCATTTCAGCCTGGAAGATGATCTGTGCAGAATTCTGCTCGCCAAGAAAGTTTTTCTGTGCATCGCTCAAAACAAGTGAAAAGAATTTTCGTGGAACACCAGTAGGATCAACCAGCACCCCTCCTAGGCCGCAGAAACTATGCCCTGCCCCTGGCTCATACGAAGCATCTGTGTACACATGCCATGATCCGCCCTCAAGGATCTTGATCAAGCGCGGGGCCCCGACCTCGAGCCTGAGCAGGAACTTCTCGAGCGATGCCCTGAGTTCGCGACTGATTACATCGTCAAAGCCGTAAGCATGAGCAGTGATCAGGCCCAAGCACTTCTTCCCAGTACGACCGAAGATTTGCGAATCGGCGAACTGGCACCTACCCCTGAGCCTTAGAGCCTCGTGATGTGGCAACCTACCTGACTCAAGCACCTTGCCCACGAACGCCCTGATCTCGGAGACCCGCTTTGCAGTGTTCTTGAAGCTTATGGTGCCATCAAGGCATGCACGAAGGTCCACCATGATTCCAAGCGCCTGGAAGCACTCGGAAAAGTCATTTGCCTTTTCGCCGGACTCGGCGAACGCCCAACCTAGGAGTTTGAACATGTAACATTGACGTTACTGCCGCCTCTGCCGACGCAGAGCACCCCGTCGTCGCAAAAGTGACAAGTCATCGAAAAACGACGACCAAGGCAAAAGCAATGCCTTTGCACCGAGAAACCACAAGGAATGACTAATCCTAAGGAAAGCGTAGACTGCCATTGCCGATCCAAATGGCATGGCCTTCATCCGAAAGTACACTCGCTCGTTCGTGTCTGGATGCACGAAGCAAACGTACGCTGCCCAGGCTGTGTCTGGGTGGACTGGCATCTGCCGGTAAGCTGCAGTGAGATCAAACGCCTTGCCCAAGATTTTGAACAAGACCTTGCCTGCTCTCTTTTTGATGGATTTCAGCAGTCGAAGACAGGTGGATGCAACCACGTCTGTAGACTGAGGCTGCGGAGCCTCATAGGCCTGCACCGCAAGGTTCACCCCCGAAGAAGTCAAATTGTCGATGCACCTTACCTTCTGGCCTTGCTGGATTCCGAACCGACGGCTAACCAAGATCCCATCACACAAGCTGGACTCGCACAGGGGACCAACGATCCAACCTGCTTCGCGCTCCTTATCGGTCTTGGAGCAAACTTCTGCTGCTAAGGCGGGGTCCTGGGGCTTAAGGGAATTTTTAACCTTTTCCCGAAAAACTTTTGAATCCTCCCTAACTTGCTTCGGCGTGGCTTGCATGGGCTTGAACTTTGGTTTAAAGACTCCCGAAATGGGCGCATGCCCCACCAACGGGACGCCTTCCTTGAGAAGGCTCGACACACACTGGTCTGGGTAATCGTATTTCTTAAGCAAAGCTTCCCACAAGAGGATGCGTTTGGATGCTGTAATCTCACGGACATCGGGGTGCATGCTGGCCTTCAGCTCCGCCTCATTGGAGGACAACGAAGTCGCCAAGTGCAACCACTCCTTGATTACCCTAGCCCTCAAAGCGGAAACTTCGGCGTCTCCCACCAACTTATCCAAGGATTCAAGAGTATCATTCAAGGGGGCCGGGAGCACCGAGCCCATCGACCTTGGGTGACATGATTCGGACGCCTTCTGCATGAACTCCTCAGGCTCCCAGGGTAACCCCCAAGCCATCTCCCAAGAATCAACTTTCACCAGTTCTTTACCCCCAGCTTGCACTATTGGCACGTGCCGGAGCAGCTGAGCTTTTGCCGGGATGTGTGCCAGGGTGGCACCACACTGTGGCGGCACGGGCCACGGGTTTCGGAGTCGTTGCATCGGCTGACACGGCAGCACGAGCCCCGGAGGGTGCTGCAAGACTAGGACCCGCTGATGCTCACTAACTAGTGGCGGTATCTTGCTGGCCCGAGGTTGGGCACCAGCCAAAGCACGAGACATAGGAACTTCCAAGCGAGGATCAAAAGCATCAAAAGTTTGCGGGGGCGATTGCCAGCCCTTTTGCACGAAGTGTTGAGCAAAACAGCAAGCTATCTGCGTGGCAAGACGCACCGGATGGGCGCCATGCAATTTGGACTCAGGCAGACGGTCCTGGCGGCACGAGTTGCCCGAGCAAAATCGAGCAAGCTTCGAAAATGAGCGATCGGTGACAGCAAAGATGGTAGTGCTCAGGTGGTTTCCTTCGTATGCGCAGTCGTGGCACGACACAAAAGTAAAATGCGAAGAGACCTTGCTCCAGCAGTCGGACGTCCAGAACGGCCCATCGCCCGACTGGGCCAAAACACAGACCGCCCCTCGGCCGAGGACATGTAACAAGGCTGCTGCCAAGAATTGGTCCAAAGCACTGCCCAAGTGAGCAGGCGGAGTCACAAAAAGGCCGGCTAACCTAGGTGACGATATCCACTCCATGCACAAGTCCTGTCCTTTGGGCGTGGCCAGATCGGCCTGTAGGCATGTTGAGATGGACCTGCGGTTGTCAGCATCTACTCCGACGGCTGATAGCCCCAACTGTTTAAGACAGGCAGTTACCCGGCCGGACCCCGAAAACAATTCAATGACTAAGGGATCGCACCAAGTTGCAGGATTAGGGACGGCGTCGGAGGTGCAAGCAGAACCGTCGCTGGGCCGTGTAGGCATTTCAACAAAGTGGTCTGGGAGCACAACCCGTGGGCGAGTCGAGTCGCTGCCCTGAGAGCACGACCTGGAACGGAATGCACTTTCTGGAAACCCTGCTTCCAGCAGGCGTTGGCGGTACTCCGAAGACAAGCTTGCAGCGTGATTAGGTTTGAAGGCGACCAGCAGCACCCGGTCGCCAGACCAAGGCATGGTGCAGTGGGTTTCACGGGGGTTTAGGGTACACGGCCCATCGGCAACCCGAACTAAGGACCCAGAGAGGCTAAACCCTAGCTCGTCCTGCACGACGTCGTTGCCGGGCCCTTTTTGCCAGACCTCTCCACCTTGGAAAGCGGTAATCGGGATCAAGTAATTTTGCGACCCCATCTCGTTATTTACATCGACATGCAACGCAGTCTGAAGGTTCTTAAAAATCGCAACAGAAGTGAAGTCGGCGTTTGGGAAAGTTTGCAGCACAAGCTTACACAACAAGCGCGTACAAGCTGGGAAAACAGAGGTGTGTTTCCTGACGCCTTTGAGCGGTCCTTTGGCATATGCTCCCGAAGTCCAGGAGAAAGTGTTTGGCGCTTCTTGTCCCCTCGCCGGGGTCTCGCTCTCAAGCATAGTGATCAATTGCAAAACATCGGCAAGCTTACCTTCCCGAAGCTGTGAACAAAACTGTTCAGCTGGGTGCACCGGCTCAACGGATATTGTCCCCGGCGAATCAAGCTGAATGGAATCTGGCATCGGTGAATCATGACCTCCAGCGGAGGTCGATGCGACTGGTGTAACAGCGGCCTCACTGTCATCGGTCGACACAAAACTGTTCGGAGCACCTGTTTGCAGTCACTTCTTTCTCTTTGGACACTCCTGAATACCATGGTCAGGCGCAAAACACAATGCACAAACATGCAAGCCCTTAGGGCACGGATCCTGAGTGCAGCCGCACGGCAGATTCCTGGAGAAGCAAATGCGCTTCTTGTCGGGAGTCTCTGCAACTCCACCCAGTTTACGGATGGCTTCCGGCACACTGGGCTGCCATGTGCCCTTCTTGCCTTTACCTTTGCCCTTGGGGGGCTTCGTAATTTTAGTGTCTCGCTCAACCCCGGGCTTGTGCGGCGTGGCGACCCTCTTCTTGCTTTCCTCGGACTTTCGCGGAAGGAGGGCTACAGTTACGTCAAAGGTCTCAAGTGTGGAGAGCAGAGCCCGATCAACAGGGTATGTCCCATCTGCACTCCTTTTCGGACTGATTTCGTTTTCGATCATTCGCGTCCAGACCTGCCTATCTGCCGTAAGGAGTTGGTGTACACTAGTCCTTGCATAGCCTGGCGGGGGCTCTCGCCCCATATGCCCAAAGAGTTTGAGGACATACCTTTCATGTGCCACGTAACTGGCTACACCGGCGAACTGGAGAGCCACACCTCGGCGCTTCAAAGCCTCTTGCAATAACAAGGCTGACCCGCAGGCTACTTCTGGCAACCCTTTCTCCTCAGAAATCGCCAACTTGCCCTCCTCCAATGACAGGGTTTTACTCTGGGCCTTAACATTCTGGATCTCATACATGCGAGTGCCGCACTGCTCGGGGGCTATGTAGCGAAGCTGCCCCTCTCTTTCCATTCGACAAGCTGCATTCAAGAGACCATGGGAAGGCTCCAGGGACCCCTCAAGCACAACACCCGGTATGCTGGCTCGCACGGCCTCCATCCTCTTCTGACGTTCGACCGTCGGAACGTCTCGCGTAGACCACTTATCGGGCTGGGTCACCTGTTCCCTGAGATCATTAAGCAGGAGTGCTTGACTCTCGAAGAGAAGCCGCTTCACGCTTCCTTTCTCACCCAAGAGTGCCGCTGGCATGACCGTGGAAATGAAATCATCGAACTCAGATTGAGGCAGCGGCGTGCCCGGCTGGCCACAGGAATAAGCCAGCTTGCTCAAAGTATCGATCCCATGGTCCGCGAGCGCCCTGAGGCTTTCGCGACTGAGGCCAACCTCGGTACATCGCGACTTGAAGTGATGCGTACTCTCTACAAGGGACGTCATGTTGAGCCCACATTCTGAAGACGAACACACTCGAATTCACTCAAGCAAGTAGCTCAAAACTCACATGTCATGTGTTCACATCCACACGCTCACACAGCACGTCGCTACGAGCACTTCGCTCACCGCTTTCTTCCCAGCACACGATACATTCATCGTTCGCCCAAAAGCGCGCTCTGCGCGGGCCTCACACATTGCGCCGGCAGGTCCGGCACTCTTTGCCACGACTGACTTCGATCCTCGTCGCTTCACGATAGTTCCCACTTACGGGTCGCCCACATGCGAGCAGCATCGGAACATCATCGGGGCTGGCAAGCAGATGCAAGACCCCACTCGAAGTGTTCACATACCACACCTGGTCTGGCTCCTCGACTTTAGCTCGCTTCCACCTACGAACAGCAGGCTGAACCGCCTCGCTCGCAGACGACGAGGAGGAAGACTGCGATGACTGAGAGGAATCGCTGCACTCATTGTCCGAGGAAACAGAGTTCCCTGCCTCGGACTCGTCACTGCTGACCACCTCAACCTTGACTGGATTGAGCTTCTCTGATCCTTTGTCGGAGCCCCGGATCGTGACCTCCTCGTTACCAACTGCTCGCCTCGGGAAGTAACTCGAGCGACTGTTATCAGGGAAGAAGTTTCCGGCTGCAACTTCTCTGATCATGTCCTGAAGCCGTCTGACCGGTGCAGCTGACAGTTCTCTGCTGTAGATGGCTTGCGTAGTCTTGACCGAGGACGCATGTCTCCCCAAGATGCTTTTCAGGTCCTCGTCAAACCCGAACTTACCTCCCCCTCCCAAGCAAGTGCCTCGCAACGAGTATGCAGTGACCCTGGGGGCCGAAGGATCGGTGACCTCCTCAGGCAAACCTAGGAAAGCTCGCAACATCTTGCCCACTTCGGAGGAAGCGATGGACCTCCTCGAAGAGACGACCCCTGATTCATCGGCAGGCGCCAAGGTCAGAGGACCCCGAACCGAAGTCAAGCTTCTCCCCGCCTTCCGGAAAGCACTCAAGGCTTCATCAATCCAGCACTTTCCGTGGACCCCGATCATGGGAACTAGGATCGGCAGCAGCTTGGTCTTAAGCTGCACCTTCCTGGCCCCCTTGTGCTGGGAAACTTCGAACACTAACAACGGGTAGTCGGCTCCAGGCGGGCAGTCAACCTCGACCGACTCAACGAAAAGGAAATCGCTCGGGCGAGCCCTAGCATACAGCCTAATCAGCAGAGAAGCGAGGAGTACGCGGTCAAAGCAGTGCAAGGCTCCCGACTCCAACCTTGCGTGCAACTCGAGTACCTGCGAGACCGTAAGATCTTTAGCCTGGCGGAGTTTGCGCACGTTCACAAGCTGCTGCTCAGTGGCTCCGGCAATCCTCCTAGAATCAACTATGCCCGACAAACGGAACCCCAGCACAAAGTGAGCAAACCTGAAAGCACTCAGGACAGAAGCAGCCTTGGAGGCCGGCGCAGAAGTTTCCTTGAGGAACTGCACAAAATTCCACACCTGCACCTCATGCAGCCCGCTCGGGGCTAAGGGCTCGTGGACATCTAGCCATCGAACGAAGGTCCAAAAGGATGCAGCTCGTTTGTGTATGGTGTGCGGTGATTTCACTCCCACAGCAGCTGAAACAGCCAGTACAACGTCCTCGTAGCCCGCTTCTCTGTTTCTCATTCCCTGACAGACACACTCGAAAAGAGAGCAGCACTCAGAGTACCTCAGCACAAGTCTACTCCACATGCCGATACCTTGCTCCCTCTTACGCTCTCGCTCCGCGGCGGGATCGCGAGCTGCAGAACCCAACGCAATGGCCCAGGCGAAAATCGAACCCGACGGAGCATCCTTGGACCCGGCTTCAGGTTTGCGGGCTGCCTGGGCATTGTGTGTGATCGGCGGGAAGATCGACCCCTGCTTGCGACCTTGCAAAGGGTCCCACACACAGTCTGGGTCGAAAAGCAGCTTGGAGAACTCACTCTCCCACGGAAGCCTAAGACCGTCATCAAGTTTGCCGAATCTAGCAACATCCTGCTTAACAAGCCCTCCTACAAAGGAACCCAAAGCATCATCTACGACACCCGCGGTCGAAGCGAATGCCCCGGGGGCTTCCAAGCTAAGCCCTTCAGCAGAGGCATCTGCATGGGCCAACGACGCAGCTTGGTCAAGAACAGGGACCGAAGAAACCGACTGCTGTCGGGGTGCATTCGAGGCTGTCCCCGATTCCATGTGCCCTACATGAGAATCGTCGCTTCCGAAAATGTCTCGCATCAGACCGGCCACATCCCTATCGGCTCGCTCCAAGGTCTCCACACCAGGAGGCGTCCAAGCATCGGGGACCTGTGACGGGTCCTCTTCCCAGTCTTCCGGGAATTCAAGCTGAGTGAGGTGTAGGTCGTTCCCGACACGCTCGCAACCTAGGCTAACTCGACTGAAGCTGCCGTCCGACGATTCGCCAAAGCCTGGGAAATCCTGTGGTAATGGCACCTCACCTGTGAAGTCTCTGACCACTAGAGGCGGCAAAGGCGGGAAAGTGAACTCACCAGCCCCACCTTGAACATTTGCAGCCTTTGCCGAGGCAGGTGCGGCGGCACTTGTCTGGGATTCCATCCTAGTCTAAGGTATGAAGGAAAGGGGGGAGCGGCAGTGCTCTCCGGCGCCCCTTCAAGCCAAGTGATGCGCTGTTGCAAAAGCAGGAACTGAGCCTGCAGTCTAAAGACTGAACTCTTCAAGCTCTGTCCTTGGCACCATGCAGCGCGCCCGCCCAGGCCGCGAGGAACTATGAAGCCTTGGATTTAGCACCCGGAACCTCGTAGACAGCACTTTACCGGGATCTTAGAGGAGCCTTCTCAAAAATTTTGCTCAGCTTGAGCATCCGCACTGCGAACAGCATGAGTGTGATTCATGCACTGCAAGACAAAAGAGGGATGCTCTGTCGCGTTGTTGTCTCAAGGAAAAAGCCACTGAAGAAAACGCAAGAAGTAAAGCAACCTTTTATTTTTCAAAATCGGTCCAAGGCGGCCCACGCGAGGGCCTTCGTCCGGGCTCAAGAGAATCCACTATCTCGGAGCGAGACTGTGTGGTTCTTGCCAGCCAGCGCCCTCGCCAAGTACGCGGGCTTTTGTTTCATAAGCGCGTCGTTGGTCTCAGCTGACTCCTTGGAAATTTTCTTCCACGCATCCCGAGCCTCATCGGCCCTTTTCTTGCGCTCCTCTGCTGGCATAACTACGTTGGCAGCGATTTCCTTTGCCGGCCCTTGGCGATTGACCAGTATTGCATTGCGAGGGTGCCCCGCCTGGACCGCAGCCTTCACAAAGTCCTCCGGTTCACGTGGAATTCCAATAGTAAGAATTTCTGCCTGGGTCGCACAAGGATTGTCATCGCACACCATTCCCACCACCTCGTACACGTCGTTTTTATCCTCGCTTGCAAGCAAAGAGAAATCGGAAGTGTCAGGTTGATAGATCTTGGCCGTCCCTCCCAGCAACTCTGCAGAACTATGTCTGTCGAAGCCAGGATATTTCGAGGCAGCGCAAACCCGGACTGCTCCCCACGGCACCAGTTTGCGTTGCGTCACACGAGCACCTTTGGGGTAGCACTTCAAAAGAGGTGCCGCAGCATCCGCGGAGCGTACAGGTACAGCCCAGCAGTCGTGTGATTGGTAGCATGAAACCAGAGGTCGAGCATATTTTGGCTGTCGCTGCAGTGCGACTTGCTCACAGGCTCGCGGCTGCTGTGAAGTTGAAGCCAATGCAGGAAAACTCTCAGCCAGAATGTAAAGCATCCGTTCGCAAAGAAGCCAAGGGTATGCCGCCTCCGCAGCAGTGGGGAATTGCCAATGCCCATCCACAAAGCGAGGCTTCCAGGATGCGTGTTTGTGGTCACGGGAACAACGCAGCGCCAGCGACTGAAAGCGTGGGTCGGAGCACCAGAATAAGGTAGTTTTGTCGCGATCCCCGCCATGCATGCAAGCATCAAAGATGAGTTGGTAGCTATCTTCACGGCGACAAAGGTGGTCGAGGCCGTCACATAGCCAAGCCAAGCTGTTGAGAGGGTTCTCAACGGTCGCGAAAAGACCAAGCTGCAGGGCGAGGTCAACGATGCAGCCGACAGCTCGGTACAACTTGTTGGCAGCGAGCACACGATCGCGGTCGGCACCGGTCAGTGTGGAGAGGCCCTGCGGCTCCGTGACACTGCGTAGTGGTTGAGGCACAGGGCAGCCGTAGTGCTCAGCCTTATGTAAAGGTCTGGATCGTGCCGCCGAGGCCGTACCACAAGGAGGTGCCAAATGGATCCAAGCAATGTTGTCAGCCTCCAGATTGATGATGTCAAGCAGCGTCTGCAAGTCGGCATCCAACGTAAGGTCCAGTCGTTGTATAGAGAAATTGGTTCTCTGCGAGGAGCGGTCCACCGCCAAAGTACGAAAGCCCATGCGCCCAGCAACAGTGCTGAGGCGGGCGGTGCCAGCAAAGATTTCGATAACAAGTGGAGCCAGGTTGTTCGGGAAGATCTTCTCAGCAAATGCATCAGCATGTTGGTCGTCCGGTGTAGTTGGCGTCATAGATTTAGACGACGTTGCTGTAGAATGCACTGGCAAGGCAGGCCGATATGCAACGCGGCGGCGCTTGGCGATGGAAGCTGAGGCCTGTGGCGGCGGCGTCGTAGAGGTAGACAAAGAGGGCGAAGAAGTCGTTGAAGTGACCTGGCGAGGAGCGGCCGCATGATCTTGGGGAGGGCCGGGCAGTGGAAAACCAGAGTCCCGCAGCCAGTGGCAGTCCCGTTCACAGAGTCGTTGTGTATCACGAACGCAGAAACCCACCACGAGCAGGCGGTCCCCCGTCCAGGGGCATGTACTGTGAAGACGCTCTGAGGGCAGCCGTTGCGGGCCAGAAGCCACATCAAGCAGGTAACCAAGGCGTTTGGCGGAGAGGTCAGGACACGGATGCTGCCCGCGACCTTCCACCCAAACCTGACCATCGGAAAAATGCGAGGCTGGCAGCAACAGGTTGGCGTGCCGATGATCATTGTTGCGATCTGAATGAAGCGGCGCCTTCAAGTTGAAGAATAGGCCCACTGAAGAAAAACAGGCATCAGGAAACTCAGCCGACAATATGAGTGCAAGCAGTTGTGTGGAAAAAGGAAATGCAAAACAATTGGATCGAAGCCCGTTCTTGTCGTGGTGCACGTAGGCTCCAGAAGTAAAAGATTTGGGATCCGCAGGAGCAACAGGTTGGCCTGAAGGTGCCCCCACAGAGTCCGCCGGCAGGCGAGCACTGAGCTCGCGAAGCTGTGCAAAACTTGCAAAGCCAAGATTCAGGCACTGGGCGGCCAGCGATTCAGCAGAAGAAAGGTCCTGTGCTGTCACCGGCACCGGAGAAAAAGTGTATCCCAGCCCGTCGTCATTCTGGCCAGTGATCCGTCCAGCCTCAACCTGGCCGGGGGTTGCAACGACTAGTCACTCCTTGGTTTTGCCTTTACCAGTGCCCTTCCAAGTGCGAGCACGGCAATTGCGAAAGGAGTGACCAGCCCTACGACAGAAGGCACACACATGAACACCATGCTGGCACGCTGGGGGATCACCGTCAGCCTTGAGCTTGCAGCCGCCGCAGTTGTGATCCCAACAAATGAGCTTGCCATCTTCGGTTTTCTGGTGCGTGCCCTTCAACTCGGCAGGCATGGCACGTGCCCCTTTTGGGGTCGAAGTCGACTTTCCAGGCGGCGTGGCATTCCGTGCCGCCGCCGCCTTCAAGCGCCTCCGACGTTTTGCCGAGCGAGAGATACCCTCGCCATCCTTTGGTGGGGACGGGACATCCAAAGGCATCTTGACGTCAGGCTGCCTGCCCCAAGTAGGCATAAGATACATGGTGATTCTTGGGTCAGTGCGGAGGGCCTCGAGTGCAACACCAAGCGGAAACTCACCGGCGGCTGTGACCTTGAGACTCGGCACCTCCGATGCAAGAATGAGCCATGCCTCCCGGTCTGCTTGCACAATCCGGTTCATATCCGGCTTGTGGAACCCTGAAGGGCACTCGCGCGTGAGTGCGTGGAGGAGGCAATGCACCCACCTCTCATGTTGTTGCCAAGACATTAAGCGAGCTTGATCAAGTGCAAGGCCTCTCCTTTGAAGACACCACTGTAGCCGTATGGGAGAGTCGAAGCAGGCCACATCATCTGGGCCCTCGTTTCCGACTTTCAAGCTGTTATCCTCCAGCTTAAACACCTTGGTTTGATCGCGGGTCGAGAGTTGGATCTCGCTTTCGCGACTCGTGCAGCGGCCTGGGCTGATCCATGTCACCCCGACCTCGATCATATGGAAGCACAAATCCACCAAGGCATAAGATGGCACAGAGTCCCTCTCTATGTGGACCCCCGCCAAGCGGCGTTTATGATCGGCCGCTCGAGCCGCTTTTTCAGCCAGGGGGAGTTTCTTAGGGGTCTCAGAAGCATCGCCTTGAACATTCTGGCGTAACTGTGCGATCACAAAGGTGCATGATTCGAAGATGAGTCGCTTCAAGAGCGAGACGTCGCCCAAGCGAGGTGCAGCTCCGAGAATCCTAGTACTGAACGCATCCAGCTCGGTCTGCGTAGGGCGATCCTGAGGTGTGCCGCATGCATAAGCCAGACTAGCGAAGGTCGTGACACCATTGTCACGCAAAGCTGTGTGAATGGTTCCCGCATTCACCTCCTGGCATCGCTGGGTGAAGGCAGCTTCTGAATCCACAAGCGACATGATGCCCTGTGTCTGAGTCACAAAACACTCAAGCGGAGAGGCTTCCATGACAGTAGCACCGGCAGTGCAAGCATGCACACACGAAGAGTACTTGAGTCTTTCGGAGAGGCACGTTTCACAGATCTGCCGCGAACTTCTTGCAGTTCCGGCAAACTGAAGAGTCAAATCGAATTTTTATTGGTGGCTTGTATGTGTCGCCAACCATGCGGCCGCACAGCAAAACCTTCCGATTTTGATCGGAAATCAAGTGCAAAAGCCGAGTCCTCTTGTGTTGCAGGAAAGATGTGCCTAGGGCGGGCTTCGGTACACCCACCTTGCGCTCAGGTTCGTGACTGATCCTTGAAGACGAAGAAGACGACTCATCTGAACAGCTTGAACTGGAAGAGTCCGTCCCGGAAGCATTCCCATTAGGTTCCTCGATCAAGTTGTCCCACGGGTGTACCGGCGAATCGCCAATGTCGGGCGCCTCCGGCTCCTCGTTGGCGGCAGCATGCCCTGGGCTCGGAGGAGAGATGCCCAAGTCTCTCCAATCATCGTCAGTGAGCCGCTCAGGGAGCGGGAGATCCCACGAAGCCGCATCTTGCTCTGTTAAGCCGTCCTTGCTATTGCCAGACTGATCAGCAGGGCAATCACCATTTGTGGCCTCAGATCCCGCGCCAGCTGCAAAGACGCCTGTGACTGTAGAGTCACGGGCCTGCCTCCTATCCGCCGTCAGCCGGCGTTCCCGCAGGCCAGCACCGAAGATGTACCCCGCACGTCCAGCGTCAGGGTCGAAGACACCTTCGCGGATTTCCTCCAAGAGCGCCAGGAGCAACCTTAGTGGCCGTGCCAGCTCGTCATCACCATAAGTGTCGGCCATCTTCGCCGAGTTGGCGTGACCACCCATGGTTAGCCGATCAAGGTGCTCAACCCCACGCTTTGCAGCCATGGTCAAGAAGGTGCGCTTCATGAGGTGTCCGGTTGTGTTCTTGCTATTGTCACGTCCCAAGACTTTCTGGATCCAAGCAGTAATCTCCTTAGAAGAGACCGAGCACCCCATGGCCTCGCCAGCAGCATTGGGCGTGGGCAGCGGCGGCAAGAATGTAAACAGTCCGACTTCCGCACGAGCCTGTTTCCACAAGTGCAGCCAGTTGTCACTGAGAATCCCAACTCCAGGAGCGATGAACCTAACAGGCTCGCCAGCAAAGTACTTGGAATTCACTGTCTTATACACCTCAACAGTGTACACCAAGAAAATGATGTCCCCCTGGCCGTTCGTCTCGATATCAAAGCTGACTGAATGTTGGAAGTCCCCCCAACGCGATCTCATGTAAGTGCAACAGAGAACTGCTCCTGCGAAGGTGCGGTCCCAAGCTGGAACATCCTTGTCCGCAAGCAAATGGTGAAGCTTCTTCAATTCCAGAATGGAGAAAGGATGAGCCCTCTTCTTGCCACGCTTCACAGTTCCCCTCTGCGACGCCCCCAGACAGCGACGACTTTCAATCACCCGGTCTAGCTGGGGAACCATGAAAACATGCCGCACGAAGATTATAGCTTCTCGCAGAGCCTTCAGCTGTGACGGTTTCGCCCCACCGGCCTTAGCATCTGACATGTATCGGTACACATCTTGCTCACGATAAGGAAAAGTCCCGTCGCCCCAGCCAACAACCTTGTGATATCCCATAATAGAATTGGCTCTCTTCAACAAAGTGCTCGGCGCCTTGGGATGCAGCCAATCCTGGACCACGTTGATCCTTTGATCTTTCTCGGTGCATTCATCCAGGCTTTGGCATACCAACAAATCAGGACACGTCTCAGACCACTTCACAATGATGAAAATCCATCTAGCAATAGCCTTGTCAGAATCCTGTTGCCGTTGATCCTCCCAGCTCAATCCCTCAGTCTTGCGAACAACAGTAAAGCAAATGCCTTGCGAGAAATCAGCATCCAATACCTTGCGTTTTTTCTCGGCTGGAAGCAGAGTTTCCTCGTCGCCATGATCCCACCCCGGTGGGTCCGGCAGATCGAACCTGTCCTTCCAAGACAAAGGATCCTCCCCTTCGAAGATCTGCTTGAACACTCCAGACTCCCACGGAAGCAGCTTATCCCTAGGAGTGGCTTCCGAGCATGAGTCAACAGCAGAAGCAAGCAGAGTCTTGAAGTCGAAATGAGACATGAGCGCTCCCGTATCGCACCCACAGCAAGAGCGCGACACAAGAGGGCGACCCCAGGTCACAGAGCCACACTATCCAGCGGGCCGAGGACTCTGTGTCGCCGAAGCTTGAGAGGCAACTGCCGAATCCACGGGTGACCACTCACGCAAGTGCCACCTGAGGTCCGCGTGCCACCACCAGCAGATCAGCTCAAGCGAATGCCGATCGACTGCACACAGGCAGTCGCCCACAGAGGCAACCGCCGCCGGAATGCAAAGCAGCCCCTGAAGAGAAGGCTCGATATCTTCCAGCACAGCAGTCGTGTCACCCCGAGGGCTATCGGACATGCGCAGCGACAAACCTAGCACAAAAGGCAATCCCAAATCATGACGTAGGTTATGTGAAGTGCAGCACGGCACTTAGCCTGGAAAAGAGCACTGGTTGACAAGCATCTCATACGCCGAAGTGTCCTAGCACAAATGAGTGGCGTGAGCAGTCAATGTTGCCATGCAAGTGCCCGCCACATGAACATCTGTTTGGGATGCATCTGGGCAGGCGCGCGAGCAACAAGAAAATTGTCATGACAGCTTCGGCAAATCACTCATGAGGCAGGACAATGAGTGCAGGCTCAACTGAAGGCATGCTTACGGAAGAACACATTTTACAGAAGCGGAGGCCTGGAAGTTTAGTCGACCATCACCGTTCCAGGAAGACGATCGGCCACAAAAAACAAGCCTCCACAGCCACCGAAGGCGCCAGCCAAAGGCGAAGCCATTCAGCAGTCGGGTAGCCCAAAAGACCACTTCAGCCAGTCCTGGTAGAAGCAGCGCGGCGTTTCCTGGCAAACCGTCGAGTGAAGGAGCCACGGCACACCAGGCGGAAGTTTGTCTCCATCTGGAACCATGTAGAGCGCTCCAAGCTGCACTCGTAGGTCGGCCGAACCCCGGCTTGCCGAAAGTGGAGTGTAACACCATCGACGATCCATCGCTGATAATTCTCGTGCCCACAGGTCCGGGCAGATTCATTGAGCAGCTGTGAAAGGGTGTCGTGGCCATTCCAACCAATGGTTGCAGTAGGTATCCCATCCAGAACAATGGAAGCCTCGCCGGAAAGATCACATGACCACGCACGATAGGAGCGCGCAGTCTGATCCCGCAGGCCGCGACCAAAAGCCTCCGCTTGCAAGATCGGAAAGGTAGGTGACTCCACAGCAACCTCCACCTGTTCATCACCGGAGGAAACATCAGCAGTCGCACCAGAGTTGGAGCCGAAAACGGGCGGTTCTAAGGCTGAGAGCCGTTGCCACAAGTGCGCATCCGCAGAGTCATCCACGTAGTCCAGCGCGGAGCCAGCTGCAGGAAACCGGTCAACCAGCCGGTGAGCATCACAATCGCTCTCCGACGAAATGTGGCTTCGTGGTTCGCCTGCCAAAGTGTCCGCCGCAGTTGCAGGCTCGGACATGATCCCATGCGGCGGCCCGCCCCGGCTCAGCACTAGAACAACTACGAAGAAGGCCTCTAGAGGAGCCCTTACACCACTAGACGTGTCGTGGAGTGTCCTGCAGCCCTATCCGACAACTCACTCCGCTCGCAGCTTTCACCCGAACTTGCGCTCAAGGGCTACTCACCACTTCCTTCGCGGGAGTGCCAGCAATCAGGCTCGGAACTCACACTATGCTAGCGGATCTTACAAGGCCCCACTGCGACAAAAATTTGCACTCATGTGCTTGAAGGAGCGTGCGCGGGAGACATGTTAGCAACTGATCATCAAAGAATAAAGTTCATGAAAAACTCAATCGTTAAAAATCAGGTTCAAAAGAGTTTCCCAAAAACCGCCCGAAGTGTTCATGCACGATCGTTTCTCAACGAGACAACAATCGTTGTGAAATTGGAAATAAAGTGAAAATCACAAGTGATGTGGTCACTTCTTCTGTGTTCTTGCCCCTGAAACAATCTCAGTCAAGCTTACTTTGGCGATCCTCGCCCTCCTGATGCTGGCGACTTGATCGAGCTGACGGGCGATCCGGCGAGGGTCTTCGGACTCTTGCTAGGCGACGACTTGGAATTGATCTTGCGCTTCGGCGTCCGCGGGGGAGTGTTCTTGCCGTTCCCAGCTGCCGGTTGAAGCGCAGTCTCCGATTTCGCCTGCCACGATTTCGTCTTCTTGCCATCACCAGAACCGGCTTCGGGGGAGGAACCCGTCGGGCACTCCTTCAGAAAGAACGGGCTCTCGGGCAAGGTCTTGCCCTCGTTGATGTCGGAATACAGGATCTTGCACACCGAGATGTCCACCAACCCAGCACCTGACGGAATTGCTATGCAACGAACAACTGAGTTGGAAGAAGTGGTTTCAACATGTTCTGAATAGACGAGAGAACTAGAGAAGCGCGTGCTTAGATAACTTGATCTGAAAGATTCGCACATTGCAGCTGAGAAACTCAAGGATGTGTTGAAGTTTCTTGCGCACATGACCTTGATGTTGTCGATGTTCTGCATCTCCGGCGGAAGCTTAAACATCAAGTCGGTCTGCATGTACCGCAACTGACTCTTGCCGTCGTCCTGCTTCTCCAGCCTCCAGTAGCTGCAGGAGGGATCGTCAACGAACTCCTTGAGAACGCGGACTCTTGGGCTTGGGTGAATTTAAGGCCAACCGATCCGACAAACAAGGCAACGGTTAAACCGAATTCATTCAACTTGAATTTTCACTGACTTGGACTCACGACCCCAGCCGCATGTTGGGCCTAAGAGGCTGAGCAATGAACAGGCGGCGGAAAATCACGATGTTACAGCAGGATGCCTTACTTAGGCGGGTTAAACGAGTAGGTCCTGGAAGGTCGTCTCTGGCCCCCGTGGCTCCCAGGTTTCTAGCCGGCTGCCGTAGTCTGTGAAGCGCTTCATCATGAAGTCCTCAAGCGCG